TTGAAAACGCGAAGTAAAGGTTTGAAAGAACAGCAAATGCGAATTATGAGAAAACTACCAGGAGACATGAAAGTAACAATGATGATATTCAGTTTAATGTTGTGGCGTCTGCTCTTGAAAATTCAAATATTAGTGTCAGGAAAATAAGTAATAACTGAAGTTTCCAAAAGCTTGACAAATAAGATATTGAAGTATAAGTTTCATCCATATATTTATTTACTCATATGTATAATGCTATAATTGTGGAAGTTTTCATGAGATTACTCTTGTAATCAATGTGACATTATGGCGTAAAATTTCAGAGAATGAATTTTAGAATGCATAGATGAAGAATAGACTTTAAAATTTAAGTTGTAGGAGACTGGGATTAGAATTAGGCATATCCAGATATAAATCGTGTTACATGGGAACAAACAATTGCTACATCCAAATCATATGCAAAAAATCCAGAAACTTTCACCAGGAGATTCCGAATTACGGGTTGGCTTTTCGCTTCATCAATGAGCAGAGAGAGTTTGTTTTATTACAGCTGGAATAATAGACATTCACAATGAACATGTGTATGCTGAAGTAAATCCCCATGCTTTTAAAATACGACACCGTCATGAGTTTAAAATAATTGTTCAGGCTGGGATAATTGATAATAATATTGGTCTTGCTATGTTACCTTATCGGCTTTATGGGGAAATTTATTTAGGCTTTCTTGAAAATAGATTACCAGAATTGAAGGAAGAGTTACCTTCAGTTTAGCGATTGACTATATGGTATATGCACAACGAGCTCACCATCATTGCTCTGCTAATGTTCCAGCCTTTTTAAATCAACTCTATCCAAACAGACAGGTCAGCAGGGGTAACAACGCTCCAGTAAATTGGCTGCCGCGCTTCCCAGATATGACCGCGATGGATTATTTCTTCTGGGGAATCCTAAAAGAAATGGTTTATTCGACACCCGTCAATAATAGAGATGATCTGTGGCAAAGAATTCAACATAGTACAAATGTTATTAGAAATAATCCAGAAATCTTACAAAGGGTACAGTTTAATTTTTTGCATAGAATTAATCTCTGCATGCATATAGGTGGTGGACATTTTGAACCACTTTTAAGACAGGACATATAATTACTGATTTTTTTAGATTGTAAGACTATTTTTAGAAAATATGTCAATTCTGTTTGCGGTAAAATTGTTAAATAAATCAAATTTAAAATTGAAATTGCACTGTTTCCTTTAAAGGCATATTTCTTGCTAATAATCGAGTACTCCTAATTTCATAATATAACAAACAAATTTTTTTATGCATTTAAATGCCTTTTTGTTGAAAACGGTTGGCTTTAGAGATATTAGCAAGGTATACCTTTATTAAGCAGAAAAGTTGGGGGAAAGGATTTTTCCAGCCCAAAGTGAAATTGCACCGTGGTACAAAAAAGTTTTGACAGCTTAAATGTGATGTGTCCTAATGATCGCTTGTGGCGCCCTCTAGAATATACAACGAAATCATCTAAATTCGAATTTCTCATCCCAAAAAACCCTCAGATACGAAATTAGCTCGAAGTAGTCAACTTCGACACCCTATAGCTCTGTTATTATCAATTTTTGGACTACGGCCAGTTTAGCTAAATCGACTTATTTTGAATCGTACTATTTCTGGTGGAGCGTTGTACATATCCTTTAAAGACGTCCTGTATAAAATATTGAAGTCCAGATGTTAATTTTGACACAAGCCATTACATGCGAGGATCTAGTGGGACACCACTGTCGACATTGTTATTTATAAAGCCATTGCATCATAATTTACATTGGCTTTATAAAAGGCAGTGGCGACAATGATGTCGAAGCATTTTGACTGGTGCCAAATTAATGGTATTTTATGTATATTTTTAGAAAAACTTTTAACTTTTTCTTAACAAAATGCACTTACCTATTTAGAAATAAAACTTATGACAGTAATATAATGATATTTTTGGCTAACACCTATTTTATAATAATTCAATTAAACTGTAAACACCAAAATATTATCAACTTAATCAAATATAGAACCTGATATGTCAAATAGCCATTTAACGACAAAGGTGGGGCGTACAATGTCACTGTTCTTTATATGGACAAATTTAAGTACAGTGGGTTTACATATTTTGTACATATATGCGTATATATTTCTTTCGGGAAATTTAAGAATATTATAATTTGAGATTTTTTCCATAAAATAGTTTAAATGAAGTAGCAAAAATGGTACCAGTGAATGTAGAGTCAAAAATAAGAGGATTGAAGTAAAAATACCTTATATGAAAGTTACACCCCTGAAGCGATATACCCTCTTAAAGGAGGGGATTGAAACTCACATTTTAATTTTTTTCTTTAACATGAGGAATGCTAGAGATGAAACTTGGTATGAGCATCCTACTAATAAAGAGACAACTTTTCAATATTTGTTCGATCATTGGCGTATTTTATAAAGGAGTGAAACAGTCGACCCCATTGCAATATTTTATTAGAAATTTTTTATATGAAGCAAATTATTTATTTAAAAATATTTATTGAGAAGACTGATTTATTGCGCAACTTTTTTACCTCTTGTAAATTTTCGATAAAACCGAGTTTTCTAGTAATAAAATTAGATGCTTCATCGTTCACTAATTAATAAAATTTGTAAAAATAAAGTAAGTAGGGGGATGTTATAACAAATAAATTGTTATTTATGATATTAATAAATTGACACTTTCTGTCAACCAATAATTAGTACCAATTGATTAATTTATTATCAGAATAATTATGGCAAATAATATTTATACCAATGATGAATATGTCGACATGTTCCAAGTGTTTTTCGAATCCAGAAAAAATAGTAATGCTGCAGTAAGATTATATCACCAAAGATATCCAAACTGACCGATTCCTCCTTGACAAACATTGGCCTCGGTGGAAAGAAGGCTTCACGATACTGGTAAAATTCAGCCCAATCGTGAGGGTAACAGAAGAAGGCGTAATGTCCGAACTGTTGAAGCTGAGGAAGCTATACTGGAACATCTAGAACAAGACTGTGGTACAAGCACAAGCCAGGTGTCCAGACAAATATAAGTTTCTCAGTTTTGTGAGGAATGTAGCTCATGAAAATCTTTTATACCCTTTTCACCATCAGAATTGAATGACCCTGATTTACCTAACCACGTTGATTTTTGACAATGGTACATTAATATTTCCAGGCACGACTTAAATTTCCTAATAAATATACTTCCGATGAAGCAAATTTTCCTAGAGTAGGTGCAGTAAACCATAATGTTCATTTATGGTCGGAAGAATATACTCATGAAATATTTGTTTGAAGATGTCAACATAATTTCAGTTGAAACATTTGGACGGGAATTGTAGGAAATATTCTAGTAGGTCCTTTTATTCTTCCACACAGGCTTAGAGCGGCCGAGTATCTTAGATTTTTGAGCGAAAATCTTCCAACATTACTTGAGGATGTACCCCTCGCTACACGTTAGGTGATATGCACGATGGGGCTCCTGCACATAGTACACTTGCCATTAGAGAATGGTTAAATTTAAATTACCTGAATCGCTGGATTGGTCGTGGTCGTGATGCCCCTGTTTGTTGACCTGCATGTACACCTGACCTAACGCCTATGGATTTCTTTTTGTGGGGACACAAAAAGTATTGTTTATGCAACTCCTGTTGCCTCCTTAGAAGAACTACGCTTAAGAATATTTCAGGCAGCAGATGACCTTCGCAATAACCAAGAACTGTTTGTGCGAGTGCGTTATAACTTCAACAGACTTATTAGGTTATACTTGCAGCAAAATAGAAATAATTTCGAGAATATTCTTTAAATTTAATTTTGCATTTCTTCTTTTTCGTTTGCATTAAATTTTATTTCAGATAAATAACTTTACCTAATACATGTCCCATAGTCATAAGTTATCAAATATTTTTCATTAATTAATAGCAAATTATTCTTAATGTTATTATTAAATTACCAGCTTATTGATAGAAAGTGTCAATTTATTAATATGATAAATAACAATTTATTTGTTGACATCCGCCTACTTTATTTTTACAAATTTTCTCAATTACCCCTTTAGTGAACGATGACGCCTCTAATTTTTTGACTAGAAAACTATCGATTTTATCAAAAAATTACAAGAGAAAAAATTGCGGAATAAATCGGTCTTCCCAATAAATATTTTTAAATAAATTTAATATAAAAAATTTCTAATAAAATATTGCAATGGGGTTGACTGTTTCACTCCTTTATAAAATAAGCCAATGATCGAACAAATATTGAAAAGTTGTCTCTTTATTAGTAGGATGATCATACCAAGTTTCATCTCCAGCATTCATGTTAAAGAAAAAAATTAAAATGTGAATTTCAATCCCCTCCTTTAAGAGGGTATATCGCTACAGGGATGCAACTTTCATATAAAGTATTTTTACTTCAATCCTCTTATTTTTGGATCTACATTCACTGATACCACTTTTGCTACTTCATTTAAAAACACCCTGTATAGATAAATAAATTTATATAATTATTATATTTGACGTCCAATAAAAAAAATAAAATTGCAATACTTATTAAAATATTCTATGCCCCAATCCCCAAAATAAGAAAAAGTAAAAAAAATGTATCTGTAGCACAGTCTACTGTCCGTAACAAGAAGTATTTAGGAAAACTACTAAATTATATATATATATAACACATCTAACTACCTATAAATAAAAAGTAGGCAGTACGGAAATAGTGTGTAAAGCAAAGAAAAATGAGAAAGGACCAAAAAAACTTTAACAAATTATTAATTTAACGAGGAATCATTTTTATTCCCATCCAAAAAGAAAAAGTATATATATAGATACATTTAAATACACTTGAAATTAAATAATCTCTTAGACATGTCTGTGTTTCTACAAGTGGCACAAGTAAAAAATGAGACTGTTATACTTCTCAAACAAAGCTACAAACATTTTTATACTCTCATTTATTTGAAATATTTAAAACAGAAATTTCAATCAGTAAATAATTTTTTTATTCGTATAAAAGATTGTCTACACAAACATACATAAAGGTAGTAAGAAATATTCCACAAGTAATAAAAGTATTTCTTTTTCCACAAAATATTTCAAATGAAAAACACACCAGAGTCAAGCAACCTTCTTCGACTTAACAGAAGAAAATCACTTTCGACAGATAATTTTAAGCGGTATCCTTTCTCATAGAAACACTTCACGAATGATACACTGAGCGCAAACATTCACTTTAATTAAAATCTAATGTACTCACTGTAAATTTCAAATTTATCATTTAATTTTAGACAATAAAATCAGTATGAGATTAGATGAACTAGGTCTAAAACTTAGATTGGGAGAAGTTGCAACTTAGAAAAAAATTGTGTAGCCATAATTTTGAAGCACAAGTTAAAAGTAGCTAAGGTAGATACTTCTGCGATAGTGCTAATCGATAAAACTTTGTTCCACACATGCCTTTACTCGTTTTTCATATTCCCTCCTATTTTCTTTATATAGTTGTGCAGCCATCGAATTGGCAGGTGAGTTTGGATTAGGATCACTTAAAAGCGACTGAAAAGATGAAATTCAGTTAAAATTTTTCTAAAAAGCTAAACGTTAATCACTACAATAATAATGTTCATAATCAAAATTTGATCAGTCTGCATTAGTAGTCTTTCCGAAGTCAGTTGAACATGTAAAAAAAAACGCCTGGCAATAAAATTTAATGACTTTCATAGGCGTCCCTAAAAAAGTTTTCTGCTAAAGGTAAAAACATAATTTGTATACAGGGTGTCCGCGTTTTTTGTAGCAGGACTTTCACAACTTGTACTAAAAGTCCTTTAAAAAAAAAGTTCATGTAAACATATATGTATAGATGCGTCGTTTTCGATTTACAGTGTTCAAGTTTAAAATGAGAATTGATTTTTTATTCATAAAACGAAAACTCCTTTTTAGACTTTGTTGAAACTTGGCAACTTTGTTTGTAATAATAATAATACTCATTTTCTCACATAATTCAATTAATTGGCGTCACAACAAGATACCAGCTTGATAAAAATAGAAAAAAATATGGTACGCCACTGCTTTTTGGTAAGTTTGAAATTTTTATCAGATTTAGCTATCAAAAATACAACTTTCTTTGTTATTTAATTTTTTTCCTATCGCTCTGTTTAGTCAGAAATAAAACATTTTCATGAATAGGTTCGAGATTTGCTTAATTTATTTATTTACTTGTTACAAAGTGTGCCGTAAATATGTCTGTTTTTGAGTTGCCAAGGATTTTTTGTTGGGACCTTACATCCTGCCCAATAGATTAAGCAGTCAATTATTTCTTGAATTTTTAACTACCCAGCATGATAACATGCTAGACGATGTTCCTTTTCAACAAAGAATAGACTCGTTTTTTCAATTAGAGGGATGCCCTTCCCAGTACTCTTTGGTGGTACGAAACTGGCTGAATACAGAGTATCCACAGAGATGGGTGGATCGTGGAGGTACAGTTGGGTGGCCTCCGCGACCGCCCGATCTAACATCTCTGGATTTTTTTGTTTGGGGATTTATTAAGGATGCAGTTTACTCTACTCCTGTTAACTTGCAAGAGGAACTTGTACGACAAATCCGAAACGCTGCTCTCAGAATAACTCCACATCATTAGGCGGTCTTTGATACGTTGCTATAATTTGTGTGTAGAACGAAATGGCAGGCATTTCGAACAGCTCCTTTGAGGTCTATTTATACAATAAATTGTTTTTCCATACCGTGTTGTTTATTTTTTTTTTATTATCTTACAATAAACTGTGTGAAACAAAAAGTTTTATTTCTGTCTAAACAAAGCGAGATAGGAAAAAAGTAAATAACAAAAAAGTTATATTTTTGATAGCAAAATCTGAGAAAAATTGGACACTGGAGAAAATAGGACAAATTAAATTATGTGAGAAAATGAGTATTATTATTACAAACAAAGTTGCCAAGTTTCAACAAAGTCTAAAAAGGGGTTTTCGTTTTACGAATAAAAAATCAATTCTCATTTTAAACTTGAACACTGTAAATCGAAAACGACGCATCTATACATATATGTTTACATGAACTTTTTTTTTAAAGGACGTTTAGTACAAAAATTTCTATTATATGTTCATTTGGCCAACAATATATTTTGATTATTTATGTCCTCAAACAATTTTATTATACTGATGGTAAATTTCTTTTTGTTCCGTTTCAAAAGGTCTCCAAAATACCATGTTGTAATAATATTATTTCTCCCTTTCTCAATTGTAATATCAATGATTAATAGAAGGTGCCTATAATAAATTAAAATCCCCCCCCCTCCACCACAACAAGGAAGGGGGGGGGACTAATTTTAGCACTAACATATTCCCTCCATGGAATTATTAAATTTTGAATATGGACATTATTTTCATAGAGTGCTTATTTCTCGAGTTATTTTCAGGTTAAAAAAATCACCCAGTATATTTTATTAATTTGAAACTTCTTGTAAACAATTTCGTAAAACTTGTAAAATAACTATTCACCAATAAAATTTTGACTAACTCTTCAATGAAATAACTTCAAATCAAGACATGAAACTATGCAAATTCAAACATTAGAAAAAAAATTCCCACATATTTTCCTAAAAGAAATTATAAACTATTAAGTGGTATGATTAAAATGATATTAATGAAACACATTAATCATATTTACGAGGGTATTTTCTTTCTTATCTTATTGAGGCAAAACTGGATGAGCATGAATATTAATATATATGTGTTAATATTATTCATGTAAAATTCGTAAACTGTGCAACAAACTTGTTTATTTGATGAAAAGTTTTTAATAATCAATATTTCATATTTAAAAACACAGTTACAAACAATAAATCTCTATATATTTGGTATATCTTAGTTTCTGTCACAAAATATCGATTATGAAATAAATTTGGACTAGTTTATTGATTGTCAAAGTACATATTTAGAGATTGAATGTATTTATTTATTACCTATTAATTTTGCATCATAAATACTCTCTAAATTTCTCCTCAGAACAATAATTTAATAAGCATATGAATAAAATAAATAACCTTCACAACTACGAATAATATTAACCGTTTTCATTCAACACATTAATAATTACAAACCGATGTTAATAAAATTGTAACTTCGAAATTCGAATTCTAAATTTTTTTAATATAACTATCAAGATGATGGTGTTTACTGTTTACTACATTAATCTAAAACTATTTCAGAAACCAGTTGCATTAATCAATGCAGTCATTTTTTGGTGATTCATTAACAGTAAATTTTCACATGTAGTAAATAAATCTTAACTAGCTGAGGATAATACACATATACTGCGCATTGTATATTTTGTAGAGATGAAGGTTATGATGTCCTTATAGCCAGTGACCTACTTCACTTACTTGAATTGAAGTCAATATAGCAGATACATCATATGTAGGGCTCCATCGATTCTGTAAAATATCTAAACATATACCCCCATCAGCATATACATTAGGGTGAAACATATGACTGACAAATCGAACCGTAGGCGGTTTATTTGGATATTCTTCTGTAAATTCGATAGTTAACTTAAATGTGCCATCCTCAAAAGGGGTATCATGTGGGCCAAAAATTACAGCATTCCATATCATTATGTTATTGTCAGTGGGGGCCCCACTAACTCCAGTTGGAGGATCTTCTTGTAATCTAAAAAGATAAAATATTGGTTTCATGCAATAAAGTGACTATTTTAGGATAATACGCAAATTATGTACTTTTTTAAACAAAAATCAAGGTGAATTAATGAAGATGAATCATTTACAAACCGTTTAAAATCTCTCATAAGGCGTCGACGGGCTGGAGTAGACATTTTAATTCAAAATAAATTAATTAATTATAACTAACTAAAATGGTAATATAAAGCTTCTATATTACAAAACACGGATAATTTACAATTATTTGTTCGTTTAATTAATGTCTGATACACACAATAGAACTTGTACTTGCATGACATACGAGTAAGGACGTCTTATAAACAAAAATAGCACTAGAATTTGTAACACAGAATGATGAATAGGTTATTCTGGTTAGGGATTTTTCGCAATAATTTACTGTTAGTTTTTATGTTTCCCCCACTGAGTTTTCTGTATTTTGATGAATGAATGTAGCAGAAAGAAATCTTCTACTCCACAATTCGTATTCTAAGGATTCGCCCCCATGGCACAGAAATCAGAAAGGAAGAACTCCCAGGATTGTAAACTTGTGAAGGTGAATTGCTTTTCCAATTTCCATTGTCTTAAACTGGTCTTAAACTTAAATGTATGTCGATTCTGTACCATGCATTGTGGACTGTGGACTCGCTCTGAATCTAATTATTTCTAATGTTGACTTCAATGAGGATGCGAACCAACGAGTGTAGATAAATGAGTC